TTAATCGAATTTCAGACTAAAGTTACCTAATTTCAGCTAAAATAAGTTTTATTTCTAGCTTTCGCCCGCAACTCCGTTCGCGTGGATTTAAAAAAATGAATAGCCTATTTGTTCTTCCAGACTATCCTCTGCATTTATACTAAATTTCATCGAAATCCGTTCAGCCGTTTAGGCTACAAACTCTAACAAACATCCGTCCATATATACTTTCGCAGTTATAAAGAGGAAAGATGTGTTTTTGCATGTTTTAAAATAACTCAAAAACTACAGGGCCGATTTCAAAAATTCTTACACTGTCAAAAAGCGAGTAACATAGGCTTTTATAATGTTTTCCCAGCTACATTTTACAATTCGGTAGTGTTTTTAGTTCGAATGTAAAGGAAACTTCAGCTATCCAGAATGATAGACGAATTCTTAAAAGAATCTAATACCATTCGCTTAATCGCCGCTTGTGATCTTCAACGCATCAATATTTTGATGGAATTTGGAGTTAAACGCTGCTTTAAAATACATTCAAGACGTTGTCATATATTTAAATCATTGTAAATTAACTAGTGGTCCCCACTGAGGGGCTCAGCCTTTCATATATTAAGGTGACTAAACCATAGTCAACGCTGACCCAATGCAGGTTGTGTCCACACATTTAAATGTCGTACCAGAATTCGGTAGTTTATGAAATCTATTTCCAGGTGTTACAATGACAGAAAACAAATATAGGTAATGTGACAGTGACAGGGTAAATCGATTTAAACATGCAAAATGCTCCACGTCTTACCAACCCCTTTCTATCAGCTGCCAGGGGAGGTTCAAGAATTTTATTAGAATTTTTGCGGCAGCGTCGCGAATCGAGTATTCGGGATCGGAAGAAGTTTAATTTAGTTGCGTCTGTGCGTGTTTTTACAAGTTTAGATTATAGGGGCTTTTTAAGAGGGGTGGAAATGTACTATTTGATAGATTTCTATTGCATTTGTTACTTTCATTGCAATTTCATTTTGAATCTTACTAATATTAGAATTGCGAAGGTTTAGATGCATGTTTGTTAGTTTGTAGCCTACACTGCTGAACAGATGTCGATGAAATTTTGCATGGATTTAGAGGATAGTCTGGAACACATAGGTTATTTTTGGTTGTTTAAATTCCACGCGGATGAAATCGCGGGCGAAAGCTAGTTAAGAATATAATCGAAGACTACAACGGTTTTTTTTACCGCGTTGAATTCTTTCAAAAATAGAACGCATTTCGAACATTTTCAAAAATTGTAAAAAGAAACAGTTGTTTCCACATAATCTAAATATCTAGATCTACAGAATATGATTTAATATTTAATTTATTGGGATAAATTAAAATAACAGTAAAGTTTTTATAATTCTTTATTATTTTTCTTTACGGCCACTTCTACATAGTTTTAAATTTGACAATATTCTATAGAAACAATCCAAAATAACAAACTAATAATAATTCTCAATTTAAAATAATTTCAATTTGATGTTATCACAGGTTAAATAAAAGAAATGCAGTTAGTTGAATACAGATTAAAAAAGTCAAATACCGCGAAAATAAAGAAATGGAAGGTCTCTCTAGAATAAGGTCAAACTATTTCTCTACTAATACTGCTACATTGCACAATAAATAACTTATATGTTATTCTAACCTCTAAAATATATTTACATTGTGTACGCTCTATACAAATCGAGTGGGACATAAGCCGCTAAATTGAATTATTAACAAATTACTTAACTAAGTTTCGACTCGTTGTTACTAAGTGGATAATGGCAAGTGGTACTATTAAATAATTATACAGTTTCTATTTTCTATGCGACTCAACGGCAATTAGAGTAAGACGTAATGGTCCAAATTACATTGCTTCTAACAAGATGGCCGTTTTGACAGATGTCAAATGAAATACGTTTTATAAATATAGATTATAAATTATTTATATTTGTTAATAGATAGTTATTTTGAATTTCTAATACATTTTGATATATATTTTTAGTGAATAGATTCCTGTAAATGCATATCCTGTCTATACACACGAAAAATCTACAAAAACCAAACGATACAATTGTATTAGTAATATTAAATCGATTCGAGATTCACTAATAAATATAAATTACCGCACTTAATTGTTACTTAAACGTCGCTTAGTGTTAATTAGTCACAATGAAAGTGAACTATGAGACACAAGTAGACATTTGGCAAATCGTGAACATACCAGAAACACGAAACTTTATATTTAAAGACGACAGACGAACTCTCCTAGAAATACGTGTAGTAGAATATTTTCTTCAAAGCGAATGTTTTTTTTAGTGACTTTTAAAGCTACTTTTTTACTTAGCTGTATGGATTTATTGAGATTATAGTGATCTAATCCCTTTTGAAGGATTATTCCCAACCGTCACCCGCTCTGAGAATAAAAAGTTTCAACCGTCCCACCTTTTGGTTGGAACTTATTTTATTTTTTAACGGTTCCATCACCTTATTGGTGATAGTGGGACGGGTGAAACTTTTTATTCTCATCTGTCCCCACGTGGGGACAGAGCGGGGTGACGGTTGAGAATAAGCCATTTTCAACTTATTTTTGTATGTATTATACATAAGTTTTCTAATTCTTTAAACAGGAAGGCGCTACAAATTCTTTGTTAGTGATGACGTCGGACGTCACGCCTATGCTTTCCTTAACGATTTTAGTGCGGCAATCAGTGTTTCCTAGTGTAGTATGAATCTACACTAAAGGACTGCTTAAGTAACCATTACTCTGAGTGCGGTATTAAGTCGTGTATGTACATAAATACAAAGTTAAAGGGTGGATGAATATTCATGAATGCTTGCAGTTCAGATACAAAAAAGTCGACTCCATATAAAGTGGTTGTGTTAATTTTATTCTTTAATATTATCTCCGCTTTAACAGCGGGTTTTGTATACGCTTTATGCATCCGTAAATACATTGGTTTTGTCACCGTACGATTTTAAAATTCACCAATTTACAATTCAACCATGTATCGAGATAAAACAGCAGTAAAATACGTTTTGTTGCTAACTTAATGTGTCCTTTTTAGATAATTTATAAACTGACACAACCAAATTCGTCAAATTGTGAACTGATGTGCATATTGGAGCTAGTATTTATCAACAAAAAAAATTTAAGTTGACTTCAATTCACATTTTAATATAGTTTAATATCTAGTCAGGTTAAAAACTGGCAGAGTTCGCAAATAGTCGGCAGCAGCGTCATCTCTTGCTAAACAATAAAACCATCATTTCGTCTTCATTCCGCGACGCGAGCACTCTTGTGACAAAAAACATTTTAAACTCAACTTTGATTGGTTCAAGCTTTATGATTTTTAAATTGCTAATGTTTTAGTTTTATTTTAATTTGGTTGAAGGTTAAAAAGTTATATTTGCCACGACCAAATAGATTTTAATCTTTGATTTCGTGTTTTTTTTTAAAAAAACCTAATTGGTTCACATTGCTTTAAAATGTAATATCTAACTATAAATTTACTTTAAGGGATTGAAGTAAATGCTACGAAAGAAAGAAAAAAACGAAAAAATGCAAAAAAATAGACAGCTTCTATTTTCATGCTAAAAAGTATCCTATATTAAGATTCTTCTAGTTTAAAAGAATAAGTTTTACGTAAGTAAAAGATAAATAAAGCTTGAGTGTTTGCGTTTGCAGTAAACTGCATATTTGCGGTACTTTCCCTAGTGTTGACTCAGAAACTGGACGGCACGGACGTGACAAGTCAATTTGAAGACAAATATTGACGTAACTCGCAAATATTTGGACTTATTGAGGCAATAGCAAAAGCAGTGTGGTGAACAAAAAAGTTTACATAATGCAAATATAAAGTAATGGATGGAAAAAGAACAAAAGTAAGTAACCTGTGTGTTATTCCAGAATATCCTCTATGTCTATACCAAATTTCATAGAAATCCGTTCAGCCGTTTAGGCTACAAACTCTAACAAACATCCATCCATCTAAACTTTCACATTTATAACATTAAAGTATTATGTTAGCATTGCATATATTTGACTAACTTTCGCCCACAACATCCACGTGGAATTAAAAAATAAAGTAAGTACCCTTTGTGTTCTTTCAAACTATCCTCTATATCTATACCAATGTTCATCGAGATCTAATGAGCAGTTTAGGCTACAAACTCTAACAAACATCCATCTAAACTTTCGCATTTATAATATTACCTAGATTGGTCTCGATATCGTCTCCACAGGTAATATCTTCAAAGAAGTTTCGATAAAAATGCGATTATCTGTCTGTCGCCTAAACTGCTGAACGGATCTCGATGAAAGGCATAGATGTAGGATAGTCTGGAAGAACACATAGGCAACTTATTTTTTTATTTCCACGCAAGCGGAGCTGCGGGCGAAAGATAATTTATGTAATTCAAATTCGTTATCTAAGTAATGATGTCACAATTTGCGTGATAAACTGCAATTTATCGTAGAGTCAACAGAAACATGACATGTTTTCAAAGTTAGTTGAATTGCAAAATTATGTTTGTTTTTCATGAAAAGACTCTTAATTCGATTGATTTTTTGTATGTACAATTTAATAGGCTAACTAGGTAATAGGCCGATATCGACCTGACGTGGTACTTAAGCTGGTGCGGACGACAAAAACTATGTCCCTCTTGCTAGTGCGAAACGATTATCTCAAGTGTATACATTATGTTTTCACAAAGTTATAGCAAATTTTATCTATCCTACTGCTGGTGGGTCTAGAAAGACCTGCCACGTATTGGCGGAAATATCATTGGGGGCGTATTTCGACCCGCTGGTGCACCAGATGAAGAATTATGATTTTACTTGCCGCAGTCAACGTGTTAAACTTACAAATCTTACTAATATTATAAATGCGAAAGTTAAGATGGATGAATGGATGTTTGTTAGAGTTTGTAGCTTAAATAGCTGAACGGATCTGGACAAAATTTGGTATAGATGTAGAGGATAGTCTGAAAGAACACATAGGCTACTTTCTTTAATACGCGGACGGAGTCGCGGGAAGCTAGTAAACTATAAAAGTAACTTTTATTTGTCATTTCGATGCTTAAGATCTATTTAACAGACAATTTTTAGTATTTACTAGGATATTAAAATAAACGTATTAGCATCTTTTCATATAAAAAGAAGTGAAAGAAGCAAGTTAGAATGTTAATCGCCATTACTTTTTTATTTCTGTATTTATTTGAATTCGAGTTTATTCTGCATTAAATCAGTCATATATTTAGTTTACTAGAATCAGAACATTTCATCCACCCTTAAGTCTAATTTACAATGCGATTTAAACAACTAGATTTAACTCTCAATGTCTATTCTGTAGTTCTTTTTCCCTCTCCCTGGCCTTCATCTCCAATTCCTCTTCCTCCTTGGTGAGAGGGACTGTACTATGGTTGTACAGGCCTTGGGCCATGAGCTGGAGTGCAAGCGGGTTCCTCTGCCCCGACGCCTTCTTGATCTTAGCTCGCTTGTTCTGGAACCAGATCTTGATCTGTGCCTCAGCTAAGCCCAGCTCCGCAGCAAGCGCTTGCCGCCGTCGCTCCGTCAGGTAGCGGTTCTCAGCGAACTCGTGCTAAACAAAACGTAAGTTAGGTTTATTTGTATTGTCAGATTAAGAGTGGGCGCACACCATTGACTAAAATATCGCACAACCGTTTTGCGATTGTTTCGCAGCCAACTGTTTAGTTGCACAATTAAAAATCGAGTAGTATGCGCGCCCTTATATAAGCTCATAGGAACCGATAGTTTAGTCAAAAGTGTGAGCTCTAAATAATATAATAACTAAACAGTCGTGAGATAGTTTAGTTTCAGGTCTACGCACGCTCTTAGTTACCAAGGAAGTTCAATCTTCGTTGAGGAAAATTTTAATAAATATTATTACCAGATATGATTACAGAAATATAAATATGTAACATTAGATAGAAATTCTATTAAAAAAATAGACAGCTCGTATGATTCTAACCCCATTTACCGTTAGAAATAACGTATTATTTCCAACAATAAACATATACCTAGTGTTAAAACATTAATAATAAATGGATATAAATTTACTGGTCTACCTTTAGTCTGGCAAGCTGAGGTCCAGAGAAAGCAGTCCTAGGTCTTTTCTCGTCCGACGTGGGCCCCTCCCCGGGTGGCTTCTTCGGTCTTCTCGTGCGAGGACCTGCGACATAAGAGAGGAGTCAGTCCATCCTAATTATGAAAACTATTCCGATAAAAATCTGGTCAACAAATGCCGTAGGATTGAAGATTGTGTTGAAGAAATAATTTAAAAAAAGAAAACATACATTTCTGATGTAGCTATTTAGTTAGCTGTTCTATCGGTAATTCTATATTTTACTCATTGTCTCCTTACAAACTTTCGCGTGCGAATCCGTCCGCGTGAAATAATAATAAAAACAAAAGTGAGTAGTCTATGTGTTCTATCTGACTATCCTCTACATCTATATCAAGTTTCATCGAAATCTGTTAATCCGTTTAGGCTACAAACTCCATCCATCCATCCATCTTAACTTTCGCATTAATAACATTAGTATTATTACAATTTGAAGGGAACACTTTAGTGACGCATTTGTTTTTTTAGAATTCCCATAGTAACTTAATCTTTACTCAGTAAGAACTAATATTATAAATGCGAAAGTTAAGATGGATATTACTTAAAGTGTAGCCTAAACGGATCTCGATGAAATTAGGCATAGATGAAGAGGATAGTCTGGAAGAACATATAGGCTTCTTACTTTCGTTTTTTTGATTCTACGCGGACGTAGTCGCGGGCGAAAGCTTAATAGCTTTACTTACGTGCGTAATGAATGGGTTTTATACCGTTTGCATAAAAAAAGGTTTCTATAAGGAATAAACTCAGGACATGTTCGCATGTGTAAATAATTGATAAAAGTTTTTTTTTAATAAAAAGGACGGTAAACAGTAGCCGGCAGCGTCCCGCTGTTAAAGACCTAATTATGTTGTCGGTTTTTTCAATTCAGGTATATTAAATACAACTTTATGATAACTGAGTAAAGTTTATATTGCCTTGTTTATTTGAATTGTTTGTTTAGGTTTCCATATTTAACCTTGAAATTGACAGACTTGATTTTTTGTTGCTTTTAAATGTTTTGTTTTTTATAAGGTTATTGAGTTTCGACTACTCGTAATGTATTTTTATATATAAGATATTGTTACTTTATTCCCTAAAGAGAGAATTATTCAAAAATATGCTGTGATTGTTGACATCTTACGTCACAAAGTAGTGCATGTTTACGCTTTATTATGTTAGTATAGATAGATGTTGATTTTATACCTTAGAACATAATGTGTTACATTTTTTTTTTTGACTGAGTTGTCACTGTTTGCCTTGAAGAGGCATTTACAGATTCACCGGGCTTGAGGTGGCCCAGCGCAGATGGCGCTTAGCCTAAACCTCTTTTATGAGTAACTAGGCTCGAGGGCTCCCTCAGGAGCCTCGGCTCGGGCCGTTACTTCGTTATTATTACCGGATTGGGAGGCCACCGAGCTCTTAGATCGCTTCGGTGGTCGCTCCATGGAGTGACTAAGCACAAGGGTCCACGAGAGGGGACCTCAGCTTGGTGTTGTAACACGGAAGAGCGGGACTAAGTACCTATCGGAAACTTAAATAGAAGTCTCTACATCTGGATAGCTTGTATAATCTATTGTTACACCAATAAAACATTTTTATTTTCCCTATTTATAACTGCCTATAATGACAATAACTAGAGACAAGAGTTACGATTGAAAGCATTTTATGATATAGACTAGCTGTTCGCGGGCGGCTTCATCCACATGAAATTATAAATTTATTGTTTGCATTTGTTAAATTCTTTTGCAAATGTCAAAATACCAATTACCTTACTGTGGCAATCTTGATTCCTTGATGGTGACAGTAACTTACGGTCTCTTTCCCACATTAGGGTTTTTATCCAAAATATTTACCCCCTAAGATTAATGGTGTGAAAATATATGGCCTAAAGCGTGACGTAAGTGTAGGGCTTTTTATTAAAAAAAAAATTCAAAAATAAGCTGTAATTGCTGAGATCTTAGGCAACAAAGAAGTGTGTGTTTACGCTTTATTATAATAGTATAGTATGGGTTAAAATAACATATCCTACTAATATTATAAATGCGAACGTTTAGATAGATGTTTGTAGCCTAAAGGATTGAATATACCTCGATGTTTGGTATAGATGTAGAGCACAGCTGGGAGAACACATAGGCTACTTATTTTGGTTACGCACGGAGTCGCGGACAAAACTTTTATTATAATTTAATTACCCCAATAGCATAATATATAACACATAACACAAACACACATAAAATACAAAAAACATTCCAAAAAGAACAAGATTCCAAGCAAAACAAAATGCACACAAAACTTAACACATCCAATGCTATCACTTTAAGAGCGCACACGATTTTGACTAAAATATCGTACAACTGTTTAGTCGCTTTGAGTCCTATAAGCTTATAACGAGATACATTACTCGATTTTAAGTTGTGCAAAACAGTTGAACTGGTAAAAAAACAATCGACAATCGCCAATCACACAGCAGTTCAGCGAAATTGTGATCAAAGGTGTGGACCCGCTCTAATATTGAGACTCTATTTGATATCCGGTATCATGATATAGCCATCCCTTTCTTTCCCTATGGAAAAACAGAGATAACTATAGTATTAAAGTAATAACATTGAACGTGTTGAAAATAAAACAAACATATTATTTCCAAATATTTCAGAGAGAATATGTTTCCTTGCAAATGTTTCGCCAGTGTAAACGGTTAGAACACACAGCAGGCTTAAAGCAGTCTTGATTGTTGTAACCCGAACCAAGCGGGCGATGCAATATCTTAACCAATTCACCTTAGCTATGGAAGCGATTGTTTGCTATAAAATTGGTCAAAATATTGCACCGGCCGCCTGATCGGCCGTAGAACTCCGTTGTCATCCTGCAAACAAGGGTTTATTCATGTTACACACTAAGGAAGACTTGCGGCCAAATACTGAAACTTTAAATACTTCTCTTACAATTTGATAGAGGTTAAGTTTTATAAAGAACTAGCTGATCCCCACGACTTCGTCCACGCTATATTAAAAAGCCTATAATATGCCCGTATATGTCTGCTACCCTTCCAGCTGTTTCGGATATTACTCGGAACAAACAAACATACAGACAAAAAAAAATATTTGCGGTTTTCGTTATCATTATCGCAAATACATCATCAGCTTGAAATCTGTAATTTTTCTTCTGACATTACAGACACTCCAATTTTATTACATGTATTTGATGATTATGCGTGGCCTCATTTAAGGCCTTTCATATTTAAATGGCGTTTCAGTATTCGGCCGTCAATGTCTTCTTACACTTAGAGCTCTAGCACACAGCAAACTTTAACTGATAGTTTGTTCGTAATGGGCTATGAATCCAAAATAATTTAAACAAAGTTAATATGCACATTTCTATTGCACTGATTAAACGCGGATCGGTTAATGTCTGTAGTGTGCGGGGGCCTTTTTATATAAACCAGGGTTTCCACTGTCGTGTTTGTATCAACTTATATTGTTGTCATTGTTTTTAGTATAGAGAATGTGTGAGATAGCAATATGTCAATACAACTGCTGTCGAAACCCTGATATAGGTGTGAATAATTAATATATAACATGTCTAGTTTACATTACTCCAGTCCAGTGAACCAAAGGGCATTCAAATGTATGCTTACAAGTTTCCAACCTAACAGTGGTAGTGCCCGCTTTAACATCTTAGCACGAATGGGCCGGCACGCCCGGTGTAATACCATGACCACACAGAAGACAGGCGTGAAATGGAAGCAATTCCGTGTTTCGTCTGATGAGTGTGGTGCCGGAGGCCTAATTTAAGTCCCTTTCTCTTTACCACCCTTTTCTTATAAGGAGAGGTTGGGAAGAGGAAGTAGATTTGACGGTGGAGGAGATGCAAAGGAAGGGGAAATATCCTCTTTATGTGCGTCTCCTCCTCCATCGTGTATGGGTTGGCAACGCATCTGCAATTGCGGATGTCTATGGGCAGCGGTCGCTTCGCCATTTTGGCGGTTTCAGGTGGTCGCTTGCTCGTTTGCCACCTAATGTTATAAAAAAAAATAACTCTATATTGATCACTGGACTGGACTGTAAATAAGGAATAATAAATGAACTGGAGCATTTATTATCACGTAAATGCATGTTAATTCAAAAGCATCACAACAACAATGTTATTAACAGAAAATGTAACACAAATATGGATGCAAACGTAAATCATATTAAAATATACGTTACATTATCACGATAATGAGGTAATTACAAAACATTGTACAATATCGTATTTCTTTCGTACATTATTATTAGGGATGCGAAAACAACTTTTTTTAGAAATAACGTAAATGGAGTAAAGATAGTTCAAGTCAATATGAAGTAAATTATAGTGATGTGGAAAAAATCTTTGATAATGCTTCAAGGCTGAATAACTTCTTGACCGCGACTCAATCAGCGTGGAAATAAAAACAAATGTGATATCTTCGGCTCCTTACTATGTTCTACATTTATGCCTAATTTCTTCAATATTGAGTCATTCAGAAGATTCTGTCTAAACATCTATCTAAACTTTAGCATCTATCTATACTATATTATAATAAAGCGTAAACACACACTTCTTTGTTGCCTAAGATCTCAGCAATTACAGCATATTTTTAAATAATTCTTTTATTAATAAAAAGCCCTATAGTTACGTCATGCTTTAGGCTATATGTTTTCACGCCATTAAACTTAGGGGTAAATATTTTGGATAAAAACCCTAATGTGGGAAAGAGACCATAAGTTGCTGCCAATATCAAGGAAGCAAGTGCCAAGGTCATGTCATGTCATTTTGTCATTTGCTATTGATAATTTGACAAATATAAATAAAATGAAATTTTCACAATTTGATGCGGATGAAGCCGCACGGGAATAGCTAGTCAATATAATAAAGTGTAAACACACTACTTTGTGGCGTAAGATGTCAGCAATCACAGCATGTTTTTGAATAATTCATTTTTTAATAAAAACCCTACACTAACAACACGCTTTAGGCTATATCACGCTATTAAAATTACGGGGTAAATCAATTGAAAAAAAAAACACACTTGGAAAAGGGACCATAAACTACAAGCTGCCAACATGAGAGAAGCAAGGTTATGGTATAGGTAATTTTGACATTTGCAATTGAAAATTTGACAAATGTAAACAATAAAATTATTTATAATTTCGGATAAAGCCGCACGGGAACAGCTAGTTTATAATATTAGTAAGATGTAAGATTTCGACCAATAGGTAAGAATGTAAAACAATTTAAAACGACTGATTCATTATAAAAGCAGGAAGTATAAAAGTCAATTATAATTTATAATTCTGTAATAAAAGCTAAGAATGGCATTTGCTAATATATTATCAACTTAAACAAAACGTGTTTAATAAAATAAACGGTATCATCATCACCAGCTCACTTTATGTCCCCAAAAAGGGGCTCGGAGCCTACACTAAGGGGTGACTAGGCCATTCAACCTCGCTGGCTCATTGGATTGGTGTAAATATTTACATCAAATAAAATAAAGTATTGACATGTGACATCCCTTTCATACTTTTTTAAAATAACAAAGATAGAAACATTTTTCAATCATTGTTTCGTCATACAAACTTTGGGCGGGTGCACACCTTTGACGAGTGCGATTGTCGATTGTTTCGCAGCCAATTCAACTGTTTTGTACAACAAAAAATCGAGTAGTATGCTCACCATATAAGCCCATAGGAATCAAAGCGTGACTACAGTTGTGCGAGAGTTTCGTCAAAGGTGTACGTGCGCTCTTACTATGTAAATAAGTCAACTCTAAAGAATATTATAAGTCTATTATTTTTGTTGTCACGGTCACTATTCAACAGTTCTGTATGATTTAGTTGTTTATATTGTATTCAATGCTAATTACGTTACTAGACTAGGTATTTACTGCAACTTTGTTAGTGCAGAATAATAAAAAAATACCGATACCTTTCAGTAAAAGTTTTGCAAAGTAGATCCGGCAATTTCGATGCTTAGCGAAAAAAAAAATAATAGAAAATTAAATGTGTGTTGTTTTTTATATTACCATAAATTTTAATTTTATTAATTATATAGATATCGCAATATAGCCTAAATATGTCAGTTACTATTCAATTATTACATTTATATTAAGAAAAAGAAATCTAAAACTTACTTCAATCTACTTTATAACCTCTCTAACGTTACAGATTATACAAAACTTTTTCTAACTAACCGCGGTACAGATAATACAGATTAAAAATAGACAATTCAAAATCGAAGAACGAGTTGAATCTTCAACTTAAGGTAACCATGTTTTGACAGATTGAAAGGTCAGTAGCCTTTTAACTTTTTTTTGACAACAACGGAGAAATAGACTTTTTATATCAGCCGTGAATTTTGTAGGTGTCTAATTTGACGTTTTTGTGACATTTGTCACGGTGCTATACTTTCCGAGTTGGTGACAAAAACAAGTTGCTACTCATTTCGTGAGATCTTAATTATATCGAAAATAACATTGTCACCAGACTGTTACAGATGTAAAAAAGTTGGACATGCTAGTTAGGATTTGAGGTTATGTGTAAAAAAAAATTATTAATTATTTTAACATGTTATTAATAAGTAATACGCGGACTTTACTGTCCTAAAACCAGATTAAACGTTTATTAACCACAATTTGTAATTATCTTTTTGTTGGTATAACTATTATTGTAATTGTTAATCTCTTGTTTTTCAATAAAATTATTTCTATTTCTATTTCTAAACGTTTTTTGATGGATAAAATACAAATTATAAATTTAATATGTATAAAATAAATGGGTTTGTCTCACGTTGCTGCCGTGAGCTGGTCCCGTACTTACTTCTTCCTAAAACAAAAGAAAAAAATCATTAGAACATAGATAAAACAAACAAAACATTTTATACAGAAAACAATTTTGAACATGTACCCAAGAACAAAGTACCAATTAAATAATAATTAAGCTTAATTAATCAAGAAAATATTTTAAACAACATGGACGTTTTGCAAAGATAAAATAATATTATTTCTTTTTTTTAAACTATAGTTTGACACATGTGAATTTCTCAAGTGAAGGAAATCATTCTAAGTTTGAATTCTAACAAGTTATCCTGATACACTATTATACAAAAGCATAAAAATCGAACGTAAAATCAAACAAACAAACATAGCTAAAGGGAATTAAGGTGTGTTTTTTCTATTCGATTTTATAGTGTGTACGCAAGCGTGGAACGGAAAACCGTGTGACGTCAGACCACCCAGTAACATCAGCGAATAATTAAGACATTATGCGTTGTTATATGATATTATCTTTAAAAGTTCCAGTTTGGAATTCCATTACTTCTGGAGACCTCGTTTCGGCTTTTAATGGCCTTATTAGTGCTGGGACTCGGTTCGTTGAAAGTCGCTTCAAACATTTGATGAATGTTAAATGTTTTTATACAATAATTAAAATTTCTAAACCCTATTTAGATAATGGTTTAATGCTTTTGTTTTTAATGTTCTTTTACTGTGTTTTATTTTCTGATTTATATGTCATAGATTACATAACCTATAAACTATGTAAATCTTACTAATATTATAAATGCGAAAGTTTAGATGGACGGATGGATGTTTGTTAGCGTTTGTAGCCTAAACGGCTATCTCCATGAAATTTGGCACAGGTTTAGAGCATAGTCTGGAAGAACACATAGGGTACTTTTATCCCGGGAATAGTTACGATTCCTGTGGGATTCATTAATTTAGTTTTTTAATGTTTACTCGATCATTCTGCAACGGTTCAACATATCTTATTGAAATTTGGCACAGATATAAAACAAAGTCTGTAGTAAACATGGGATGAGGACCATCCCCGAGAAATGACCGGTTCCCGAGGGATACGAAGCTTTTGGTTATTTATATAGTTCTTATGTTTTCTAATACCACGCGGACGAAGTCGCGGGCAGCTCGTGTAACCTATAAAGTACGAAGCTGGAGACTTATGTCGTCATTTAAAAAACAAAATCAATTCTAGATTTGACTTCGAACTTGTATAAAACACTCCATTTATACTTTATTTAAAATGATTTTAAAACATTTTTGCACTAGGCATTTGTAATTCTTGTTAAATTTTACGTTGCATTTATTATATTATTTAGAGCGCACATCTTTGACTAAACTATCGGTTCCTATGAGCTGATATGGAGGAGCATACTACTCGATTTTAGTTGTGCAACTAAACAGTTGAATATATGAAACAATCGAATATCGCACAACAGTTGGGCGATAGTCAAAGGTATGCGCGCTCTTACAGATTCTACAATAATTTACATGTTACTTATTTTTAAAATGGACGTTTTTATACTTAACTCGTATTTGTTATACCCTTTATTAAATTAATTACTGGTCGATGTTTGTTTAAAGCTTTTGATTGGTTTACAGTTTACTGCTGCTGTAAACGCGGCTACTTCAAAGCTCAAACATTGTTTCACACGAGGGTAGAATAGTTAAACAGAGTAGTGCGTACAGTACGCACATAGAACTGTAATCGATTGCCGTGTTTGTATTGGCACATATCTCTTGTAAAAGGAAAAGAGCGGGATAACATTACGTCAATTGTTATTGTTAGAAAGAGATAAAACACATTCCATTTTTAAAGATACAAGTATAGAAAATTCAAATTTCTTGCTTTTTTATGAAAAGTTAAAAAACCGCGTTATAGAAATATCAAAAATAATAATGTAAGCATGACTTGAAATAAATATACAATAGCTTTTAATAAGTAACTAAAAAATCGATATTTTCAATTTCACGTCAACGAGCAATCAAAATCAATACAGGCCACTATAAAATACGATAGCAGTAATAAACAACTAAATCAATAAACGTATCGATAAAAAATAACCGAATAAAATAAATTAAAAACAAAAAAAATAGATTCATGACAAGCAATTATCAGATTTAACACCTGACATTAAAGTCGATAATCATTTGAATGTGATTCAATTGAATTGGGTATTTTATCGGTAAAGAGTAATAATAGGTCTCTTATTGGAGGCAAATGTCTTCATTACAGGACTTCGTTGGTGGCACGGACGTGTTAAAACACCCAACACGGGTTTCGTTGTGTTCGAACAAGGAGTAACTATGTTACAATCTTTAAATAATACAATGCATATTTAAAAACGAAATACTTTTAAACATTGATATTAATAAATGGATAGACGATTGTCTTTTACTTCGTTTCCACTAAAACGCTCTTTTTGACGGAAATACATACACACAAAATACTCCAGTTTATAGCCAGTCTATTTTTTGTTTTGTTAATTTACAAATTTTTCCTTAAACCAATCCAACCAAGCTCTAGGCTTGTGCTACGATATGGTTTACAATAGTCGATTGGCGGGATTCAAACCCTCGAACGCAAGATCGATAGTCCGTATCCCAAACTGTTAGGCTATTGTCGCTTGATTATTTACATAGGTCAGAGTATTTAAAGTATGATTTTTAATCTAAGTGGCCAGTAACCATGACCAATATAAAAAAATACAGTGGAAACCTACACTAATTAAGTTTATTATTTGATGTCAATCTCAATAACCATATGTTATCATTTTTATATCAAAAATTTAAAGACAAGAAGTCGTAATAACATAAAACTATTTATAAATTTGTAAATAAAACGGTAATTTGATACCTATTTCCTATCAAGAATACAAGAATTTAAATTTACTTCTTCATAAATGAAACAGAAGAACTAATAATATTAAACATTTTATTCGCAATAAAATTAAGCAGATATTAGTAGAAATGCAAATTTTGAATAAGATAAATTCCGTGACATAAACTAGTTATAAAAATTTATAACTGGCCACAAGATTTGTTTGAAGAGACACACCTTCTTAAAGAAAAGATAAGTCTTACTAGTATAGTTCTTTTCAAATATTATAGCAGCTCAATTAGGGACACGAATGATCTATCGAATATCTTACGAATGATCTTTTCCTCCTGCTGCACCTAATTGTTACGAGCAGCGACTTGCGCGAACTTCAGAGCTACCAAGATATTTGATTACGTTTACTTTGTAGTTAAAACAGCCATCATTAGATAAACATAAATAATTAGAATTATAACCTTATTTAAATACGTTAAAAGGAATGTATCAAAAATATGCCTAAAATTTTAATAGGCGTTTTTAATTCACAACTGTGGAACGATAAATGAAGTAATTCTCTTATGTTACGGAATTTCTTTTATCACACACGGGTGTAAAATATCGCGAACCAATTAAATTTACGCTATTAATTTTTATTTATTCATAACTATTATTGCAATCAGTTTAAAAACGTGGTACTGAATGTAGCTGCATTTTTCGTACAAAAGACATACTAGTGTTAAATTTTTTTATTTCTTTATCTGGTTGACAGTTGCGATTGTCCGTGTGTCACAGTAGCGAAATCCGACCTCCACGAAACTCGATTGAGTATGCTAATTCCGCGGCGCTGGTGTCGCGTAAATTACTACGTTACGACGTTAATCGCTTTATTATCTGTGCCCGTCTTAATGAGGCGGCCATGTTGATTTTTTGACAGTTATATATTATTATTAACAGCGACATTTCGTTGTGAGAACTAGTTTTTTTGATAATCAATCATTTTTAAGTTAATTATTTTTATAAATAGTAGAATTAATAGAGATTTGCCTGTTTAAAAAAAATCTTTTTAATTATTCTTTGATACTAATCAATTTTATTGCTTATTTTATTATAATATCGAATTAATACACATTTTTTTGTTTTCTTATTAAAGCGTATTGTAATGCCCTTTTTTTGAATTCAAGGTAAATTCTATATTAATAACTAGCTGTTCCGTGCGGCTTCATCCGCATGAAATTGTGAAAATTTTATTTTATTGTTTACATTTGTTAAATTATCAATAGCAAATGTCAAAATGACATGACATGCCAAACCTTGACAGTCTCGTTTCCTCGATATTGGGAGCAACTTATGGTCTCTTTCCCACATTAGGGTTTTTATCCAAAATATTTACCCCTAAGTTTAATGGCGTGAAAATATATAGGCTAAAGCGTGACGTAAGTGTAGGGCTATTTATTAAAAAAAGAATTATTCAAAAATATGCCGTAATTGCTGACATCTTGGGCAATAAAGAAGTGTGTGTTTACGCTTTATTTATATTATAACTAATACTAATATTATAAATGCGAATGTTTAGATGGATGGATGTTTGTTAGAGTTTAGCCTAAATGGCTGAATGAATTTCGATCACATTTGGTACAGATATAGAGGATAGTCTGGAAGAACACATAGGCTACTCATTTTTTTATTCTACGCAGATAGAGTCACGGGCGAAATCTAGTAGTTTATAACATGAAGTCTATTCGTCCACAGTTTTAACCGCAGTGGCATTCGGTGTCATAAACCATGGCACTGTTACGGGGTAACCGCGGCCTGGAGGAATGTTCCCATCTGTGGCCACGTTAACGTTTTATGAGCACTTTGTGGATACAATTACAATTTATTACAACAAATATTTATTTATATGTGTACATTATTGTATAAATAAGTGTGTACAATATTACCTTATATATAATAATTAGAACAAACATTACAAGAAGTACGTTGTGGCAACATTAAAAAAAATACTTTATTATTCACGAATCCGTCTGCTATTAAAAAAAAAAACAAAAGTGAGTAGCATATGTGTTCTTCCAGACTATCCTCAAAATCTACACCAAATTTCATCAAAATCCGTCCAACCGTTTAGGCTACAAACGCTTACAAACATCTATGCATCTAAACATTCGCATTTATAATATTAGTTTGATAATGGGGTGTAAATGTATGAATTATAG